TGGTGCTGGGGGATCGAACCGCGGTCCCTGTGCTTTGCCAAGCTTGTTTCAAGTAGGTGCTTTAGACCACTGAGCCATCTCTCCAGCCCCTGTGCATATATTATTGACATTTAAATAAAAGTAAGTACAGTTTTGTCAGTGCACAGATAGAGACTTAAGACATCATGGGTCAAAACGTTAAAATTTTAGAAATTTACGCCTGTGGGGCCGGGGAGATGGCTCAGTGGAATAAGTGCTTCCCTGGCAAGCGCAAGGGCCTGAGTTCAATCCCTGGTTCCACCAAAAAACAAAACAAAAGAAATTTACGCCTGTAATGGGAGCACTTGAGAGGCTGTGGCAGGAGGACTGCCCTGAGTTCCAGGCCAGCCTGAACTTGGGCCCAAAAAGAGAAAGGAAAAAAATATATATTTTAGGAATTAATGCTGTGACTCAGTAATAGCACTCTTCCAGGCCTGCTTTTATAACTCATGGCTGTTTACCACAGGTCTTTTTAATTCTTGTGGGTTTGAGGTTTCTCCAAAAGCGTACAAATTTACATAATAAAAATACCCAAGCATAACCACCTTTTGTAACTAAGTGCTTCCAAGCTCTATTCAATCTCACTGGGGCAGGAAGAACCAAATTTCCATTACAACTATACAGAGTACTTGGCTGCATTCTCTAACTTTGAAAAAAATAAAATCAATATGTGAGTCGGGTGTGGCAGTACACACCAGTAATCCCAGCACTTGGGAGGCTGAGGCAGGAGGATCGTTAGACGAGCCTGGCCTACAAAGTGAGCTCAAGGCCAGCCTGAACTGCACAGTGAGACCCCATCTCAAAAAACACAAAAAATAGGGCTGGGGAGATAGTTCAGTGGCTTAAGTGCATGCCTGGCAAGCACAAGGTCCTGAGTTCGATCCCTGATACTGCAAAACAAGAAATAAAAGCCCAGGTAAATGAAGTTCATACTTGGAAGCATATACACATATTAGGAAAGGGCTTAAACAAAAAATGCTTTATATATATATATATATATTTAAAAACTTGTATGAGGGCCTGTAACACAGTTTAGAACCTTAACAAAAGGTAAAATATTTTCTAGAGATCATAGCTTTTACAAAGTGCCTATTAACGCACAGAAAAGCCCGGGCTCTATCTGTCGTTAGTGCACATAACCCTCCTATGAACTTGGCTGTCTGGATCCTGAGCCTGCGCTCAATTAGCAAAGGCAGGTGAGGGGCTGCTGGACCAGCTTGACAGCAAGCCTGGGAGACACAGGTGAAAGGGACACCGATTTGAACACTGCAAACTAGGGTCATTGGTTCCTAGCCACAGCAATATACTTGGGTCCAGTATACACTAGGGTAAACTCACAATGAAGTTCCTGTTGGAAAATGTTATAAAAATTAAGTATATTGCCTTAAAAATACAGAAATATATATTTTAGAATTATTGTATTTCTACTGGAAATGGTTAACTGTTTGAGCTTAAAAAGCCTTATGTAGATAATCCATTTGTGTGGATATCTTATTTTTTCCAATAAAGTATCAATGTAAGTCAGAAACAAAGGACACAATCTCATGTGTGGTTCATCAGAATACATGTAGTGAACTTAAAAATCATCACTAATTTCATTTTCTAGATTATATTCTTCCAAAGTTCCCTTTTCCTTTGTATTTGAAAATGCCATAAAATCACGCACTTTCCCCTTTAGGACATCTAGCTCATTTTGCATCTTTAATATGCTGTTATCGTATTGGATTCCTTCCAGGGTCTTCTGCAGCTCCATTATTTCAGACACGGCTCTCAGCATGTCATCCTCCATGCTGAACATCTGCCCCGTGAGCTTTTCTACTTTCTTCTCTGTTCCCATCAGGTCCTGAGAGACTCTGAGGACAGAGTGAACAGCATTTTCGATCGCTGGCAGGTGCATCTTGCATTCTTCAACTCGGGGTCCGTAGCTGGAGAGTTGACTGGTCAGCTCTTCATCTCTGGCCAGGAGAGCATTCTGCTCCTCTTCTAGCTTCTCAACTGCTTTTGCGTCAGAGCCAAGCTGCTCCTGCACTTGCACGAGATCTTCCTCTTCTTGTCTTTTCACCGTCCTAATATTTCGCCGAGTGCTGTCTTCCAAATCATTTAGCCGCTCTGTGAGCAATTTTATTCCTTGCTCAGCTGAGTTAATTTGGACAGTAACTTGAGAATGTATATACTTTGCTTCTGCTTTGAAAAAGTCTGTATTACTATTTATTTCTGCAAGGCTTCTCATCCAGAAATCTGTAATATTTTGGAATTTCTCATTAAGGGTTTGCATCTTTTGAGAGAGCACCTCTTCACTATTTTCAGTGTCATGCATGAAACTTTGGAGGCTGGATATTTCCTGCTCAAACTGGGTCATCAAAGACATGGAGGACGTAGCTTGCTGCAGGGTACTCTCAGTAGACTCAAGCTGCATTTATAACACAAAACAGTTCCCAAGGCCACTTAATAATTTTAATATTAGAGAAACATACTTTAATACTCAGGACCACAACACATGCCAAACTCAAATTCTGCCAATATCTCAAAAATCCAAATACATCAGAATCATACTGACTAAAACATTCATTACTTTAATAGCTGTTTTAAGAAATTTAATTAGCTATATATCAGAAAAACACACATGACTTATAGTCCCAGATATTTGTACATCTGCAGAGGAATTTTCAAAAGAAAGAAAATGTTGTGAGAAGTCTGAAGTATATCACATTTTCCTCTTTTTTCATTTCAATGAAAAATAACTTAGATGTAATTCCTATGGTAAATTTTTCTGTGTTTTTTGAGACAGGGTCTTACTATATAGTTTAGGCTGGCCTTGAATTCACTATGTAGCCCAGGTGGACCTTGAATTTGAGGTAATCCTCCTGCCAAAGCCTTGAGATCTGGGATTATAGGCATGTGCCATGACGCCTGGTTCTGTATGGCTTTTTATTTATTTTTGTTGAGACAAGGTATTACTAAGGAGTTCAGACTGGTTTTGGAACTACGTAGCTCAGGCTGGCTTTAAACTTGCAGGGATTGTCCTGCCTTAGCCTCCTGAATGCTGGGACTACAGGCATGTGGCACCACACCTGGCTCTGTTTGGCTTCTTAGAAACTGCATCTGTGTAAAATTTGTTGCATTTTCTAAATTCTATGATTCTGGAAGAGTTTCTGTCTGAAAAAAAAAATCTTTTAGGGGCTGGGGAGATGGCTTAGTGGAATAAGTGCTTCCCTGGCAAGCGCAGGGGCCTGAGTCCAATCCCCGGTTCCGCAAAAAAAAAAAAAAAAAAAAAAAAAAAATCTTTTTAGCTAAGTCTGTCTGCACTATAACAGGGAAAGAGTTATGGTAACATCGGTGGAGACACAACTCAAGAGTTCAAATCAAGTATTCTAGAAGTATTACTAAGATCTCCTTCCAGTCAGTTCTCTGTATCATCCTACACAATACACCAGATTAACCTGTGAAAATTGCTATGCAGTCTAGTGTGATGGTGCACACCTGTAATCTCATCACTCAGGAGGCTGAGGCAGGACTGCTGAGTCTGAGGCCAGCCTGGGCTACACAGTGAGCTCAAAGCCAGTCTGAACTATATATCAAGACCCTGGGGCCTGGGAGATAGCTCAGTGGAGTAAGTGCTTGCCGGGCAAGCACAAGGTCCTGAGTTCAATCCCTGGTACCACCAAAAAACAAACAAACCGAAACAAAACCCTGTCTGAAAAAATCCAATTCAATCCAAATTAAACTAAACCAAACCAAACTAAACCAAAGAACTTCTCTATGTACATCAATGCATACATTTTTTTAAAAAAATGTATTTTAGTACAGGGTCTACAGGGTCTCACTACACAGATTGGACTTGTAGTGACTCTCCTGTTTTTATCAGCCTCATAAGCGCTGGGACTTTTTTTTTTTTTTTTTTGTGTTTTAGGGAAGAGTCCACAGGGTGTTCAGGGTCTCACTACTAGATTGGACTTGTAGTGATCTGCCTGTTTACAGCCTCCCAAGAGATGGAATTACAGGTGTGCGCCACCACACCCAGTGTAAACTGCTGTCTCAGCATGTTGGGGGGGCTGGGTCAGCAGGCTTGGGGATGGAACCCCCAGCCTCTGTGCCTGGGCCCGCTTGCAGGGGCTTTAATCTGCTGAGCTATTTGGGATTACAGGCATGCACCACTATGCCCATCTCAATTGCATCTCAGTGTGCCTCGGCGGCTAGACCAGCACAGCACAAAGGGAATGGAACCCTGGTCCCGGCACCTGCCTAAGCAGGCACTTTAGTCCACTGAGCTATCCGGGCATACATTAAAAAAAAATCAAAATAAAAAAAAACCACATTTACATTTCCTGATACTTCTAGGATAAAATCCATAGCCCTCAGCTTGAACTCCTGGAATACCTGCCTCATTATGTATTTGTCAAGTGTAATAAAAATTTTTGAGTGTACACTCTGCCAGCACAGTCACCACTTTTACAACTTGCTCTAGTGGTTTGGATCTTCTGTATCATATATTCTAGATTCCTGATAAGATTTTGTGTGTGTGGTACTAGGGATCAAACCCAGCACCCAGAACTTTTGCACCAAGCTGCATCCATAGCTTTTTTTTAATTGTTTACCAATTTTGATACAGGGTCTCACTGAAGTTGCTCGACTGCCCAGGCTGTGGGGGAGCTTGTAGTCCTCCTGCCTCAGTCCCCCAGAGTGCTGGAATTATAGATATATAATCTGCCCAAGAAGATCCACCAAGTGCCTTCTGGGAGCGCATCCATTCTAGGCGCATAGGAGATGAATGACTGCAAGGGCTGTGGCTGTGCGCAGCTTGGTGGAAGGCCCTTGCCTAGTGCATCATCAAGCCCTGGGGGTGATCCCCAGCTTGGGTGGGTGGAGCGACTCATCTAAAGAGATGTAGGGAGACAAGTTACACACAAGCAAGTCACAATGGACTAGGATTAGCATCATGACAGAAAGGACGCAGGGAACAAAGATACTTAGCGAGAGGTAAGTTGGGGGCAATGAAGAAAAGCTTACACAGAATGGAAACTGACTCATTAATGGTCTGATGCATTTGTCAGGTGAAGATTTGAGAGCTTCTAAATTGTCTTCTGTATCTCACGACTTCTTTGTAGTCCCCATACTCCAGAGCGCAAAGGCCATGTCTGTGGATGTTTACGAAGCAGAAAGGCTAGAACAGCCCTCAGCCCAGGGCAATGTAGTTCCAGGTCACAGATGGGGACAACGTACAACACACCACTCCCAAACATCATTTACAAATTATTTTAATGCATGTTTGTCTGTACAATACAAGTTCCTTCGAACACTAATTCTGAAAAAATACTTCTACAGTGGTGATAGTGTTCAGTTGGGTTGTTTTAGCAGCATCCTCAACAGGTAGCATTACCTCCACCCAGGATAATTTCCTGTTTCAGGGGTTTATCAGTACATGACCGGCAGGCAGAACACTCCAATACAATCTACTTTTTTTTTTTTTTTTTTTGAGACAGGGTCTCTTTGTGTAGGTCAGGCTGCCCCTGAAGTCACTATGTCACCCGTGCTGGCCTCAAACTTTTGGTGATCCCACCTCAGCCTCCCAAGTGCAGGGATTACAGGCGTGTGCCACTACACCTGGCATAAAATCCACTTTGAGGATAATAAAGTTTCAAGCTTTAATCTGCTAATAGTAAGTAACTAATGATCATGGTAACTAGCATTTATGGTTTTCCAATGTATTTTAATAGTTTTTCTATGTTCTGAAAAAAACCAGTATCATAAATTCATTAGTGCTTGAAAGTTTTCTAAGGGTTTGTATATACACATCACCCGATCCTTACAAAAACCCTGTAATTTTTTATTTAACGCATGAGAGTAAACAGGAGCTGAGAGAAGTGCCAGGGTTTTGTCCCAGGTGGCGTGAGGGGGATGAGTACTGGCTCCGACACAAAAGGCGGCTGTAGATCTTCTTCCTTAAGTACTCCCCCGGGCAGGGAGGGGAGGAAGAGCTATGAAAAGGCTGCACATTTCTTGGTTCCATGATGATACTTCCTAAGTCTGCTTCTAAGCTTTTATTTTTTATTTATTTTTCAGCTTACTGGTACAATTTCAACATACACATTGATCACACTCAGCATGGAGAATTTAAACCTGTACATGATATAGCTTGATAACTCTTTTCTTCCCCATTGTCCTTCCCAAAGCTTTTATATTGTCACCCAAATTTTTCATTTAAAAAGGAAATCTAGTCTGATGATGCAGGCCTGTAACACCAGCAGTCTGCAGGCTGAGGCAGGAGGGCTACAAGTCTGAGCCCAACCCAGACAACTCTGACTAGGAAGACCCCTTCTAAACTCAAAACCAAACCAAACCAAGCAAAGAACTGGGGATGTAGCTCAGTCCAAAGTTCCTGGGTTCAATCCCTAGCATAGGGGCAGGGAAAGGAAATATAATTTTGTTCAAAACTTGCTTTCAAGAGCTGGGGAGATAGCTCAGTGGAATAAGTGCCTGCCTGGCAAGTGCAAGGTCCTGAGTTTGATCCTGGGTACCACAAAACAAACCAAAAAACACAAAAAACCAACAAAACCAAAATACCAAAAAACTTGCTTTCAATATATTTTAAGTAAACAGGAAAATTTCCAGCTCTTGAAATGCTTTTCTATTAGCACATCAGAGTCCCCCTCCAGCCCCACCAGGCTCCAGCTTGAGTGCTGGGTCAAAAGGCAAAGTCTTCACAGCTCCTCCCAGGTGCCCCTGGGTTCACCTTCATGGGCAGGAGGTGACTTTCCATTCCTGGCTTTTCTCTGCTAGAGGATTAAATGCTGTATATTTATTTATTTAAATATCAGCTTTATTGAACTAAAACTTGCATACTATCCAATTTACAAACTTAAAGTAATTTGGTAGGTTTCAGCATAGTGACACAGCTGCACAACCATGGCCACAATCAAATTTAGATCATTTTCCTTGTCCCAAAACAAAATGTTCTACTCTCAACCTATCATCTCCCAGTCCTCCACCCCTAAATCAGGGAATCACTGAGCTTACTCTCTATTGTCAAGAGATTTTCCAATCTAGAAAAATTTTAATTTATTTTATTATTTTATTTTTGTGGTTGGCTTAGCCCACCCTGGGGGCAAGGCTGGTGCAGCATGGGGTGCCAGGGATCAAATCACAGTCCCAGTACACTTGCCTAAGCAGGTACCTTTAGACCACTGAGGTATCTCACGGCCCCTTTATTTTATTTTTTACTCAAAACAGACCATGCTCATACCAATAATAAGGACCTTAACATAGCCAAAGAAATGGAAATCCTGCAAAGTATGCTCTCCCACCATATTGGAGTGAAACCAGCAGCTGAAACACAGATACCATAACCTTTCTTTTCTTTTTTCCTATTATCCTTTATTTCATACTATATTTATATATTAGCTTTTTCATATAAGGGAAACCATGTGATTGTTCAAGCTTGTGTGTTTGACTTTCTTCACTCAACATTGTGGTCTCTAGGTGCATCTGTTTTCCTACATGTCTCAAGCTGACCTATCTCTCTTCACAGCACAGTAGTACTCCATAGAATATGAATGCTGCACTTTACCCATGCATGGGGGATGGGCACATCAGCTGCTTCCAACGTGCAACTTTCATGGATTGCACTCCTTTATGTTTATAGCATCCTTGCTCTATCTTTTCTTAACAAGTGCTTAACATATTCTAATTTTACTCCTAAAAACAAAAACAAAAACAAATTAAACTCGGGGAGATGGCTCAGTGGAATAAGCACTTCCCTGGCAAGCGTAAGGGCCTGAGTTCAATCCCCGGTTCTGCCAAAAAAAAGAACAAAACAAAACAACAAAAAAAATAGACAACAGAAAAAATAGAAAATTTTACTCCTTTTTAGGAGTAAAATTAGAATATACAACTTACTTGTGCTTGAACTCATCAAGCACAAGTCCTTGTCTACCCTATTATATGAGCAAGTGAACAAATGAGACATACTCCCCAGGGTCAGCTTGGTGCCTAGTAGGAGAGTCACAGCGGACCTTACCCTGAGATGTGAGTTGCAGTAATAATTTAAGTGGCAGGAGGGCTGGCCAGATAGCTCAGCAGATTAAAGCGCATGCTTAGGCAGACACAAGGACCAGGGTTTGATCCCTGGCATGCCCTGCCAGCCCCGCTCAGCTGTAGTGCTGAGATGGCCAATGAGACTGGGCATGGTGGTGTGTGCCTATAATCCCAGCACTTGCGGGGCTGAAAACAGGAAAATCACTACGAGTCTGATCTATGTAGTGAGAGCCTATAGAACCTGCACTAAATAAAACAAACAAAAAATAATAATTTATGTGGCAGGAATCTGCGTCGCCACGTTGAAGAAAGGTATCACAGACATGAGAGTTATTTTAGTTTTCATTAGAACTCTTTTGTTGTTTTTGCGTAGGCTGACCCTGAACTCACTAAGTAGCCCAGGCTGGCCTTGAACTTGTGATCTTCTTGCTTCAGCCTCCTGAGTGCTGGAATTACAGGTATGTTCCCATGACTGCATAGAATTTTTTTTTTTTTTTTTGTATTTTAGTAAGGATCTATAGGGTTTATAGGGTCTCACTATGTAGATTGGATTCCTAGTGATCTGCCTATTGTCCAGCCTCCCAAGAGCTGGGATTACAGGTGTGCACCACCATACCCAGTCTCAATTGCCGGCTTAGTGTGTCCTGGGGGTGGGGCGGGCATGGCATGGTGGGGATCGAACCCCTGGCTGCTACCTAAGCCTAAACACGTGCTTTAATCAGCTGAGTTATTTGGCTGGCCTGACTATATAGAACTCTTATTTGGCTAGAAAACCAACATTTATTTTTAGACTATTCATACACACACACACACACACACACGTGCGCGCACTTAAAACAGTAAAAATTAAGAAAATGGCTCTATCTTTTCTTAACAAGTACTTGGGGCTGGGGAGATGGCTCAGTAGAATAAGCGCTTGCCTGGCAAGCGCAAGGGCCTGAGTTCAATCCCCGGTTCCACCAAAACAAAACAAGTGCTTAACATATTCTAATATTACTCCTAAAGATCAATCCTATTTTCAGTGCTTTCAGTACCTGACACTGAAATCTTCATGTTTCCAAACTGCAGCCTGAGTCTAAATTAGGTCAGAGGGAGAATGTCAGAGGTAAGAAAACCAGTGAGAGCAAAATAGCTGTGGTCTGAAGTGTGGGAAGAAAGCAGGCCTAGACAGAGTACAGTAACACAGCTGTGAAGTACATGGAAGTGTCTCCCCAGATATGTTAATAATTACCTTTTCTGAAATTAAACTGATTTTACTTTGAAGTCCTTTGAATTCACTGTTTTCTATTTTCAGCAACTGGTACTGGTTTTCCATCTTTGCAAACTTTTCCGATTGCTGAAATACAAACCTGGAAAAAAGAAAATAAATTCACTACTTCCCAGTCTGTAGTCATTTAAAATTGGATTTGCAAGGATTATTTATTCCACCCATCTCTGGTAAAGCAACACCAATTCTGGTATTGGTATGGGCAACTTTCCTCAGTTTCTGTCACCATTCGCACAGCCTGCTGTTTCCGCCCCGCAGCAATGGGTACCACAGCCAGCCTCTGGGCGCATCCACAGCTCAGAGACAGCCAGGTGTCTGCAAGTGTGAGCAACACTTCTGAAGGGTGCGCCGGGGATCTACTTACAGTAAGACAGTTGATCTCAACTATTTTTTGCAATATCTAGAAAACAAGTATTTAAAAAAATCTACCTATCTGACCGTCTGTCTGTCTGTCTATCTATCTATCTATCTATCTATCTATCTGGCACAGAGTCTTGCTACATAGCTCGGACTCATAGTGATCCTCCAGTCTCAGCCTCTTCAGTGCTGGGATTATAGGCATGCGCCACCACGCTTGGTTTTTGGGCTGGCATAGTGTACCTGGGGTTTCAGGGCTGGCATGGCATGCAGGACCAGGGGTAGAATCCGGGTCCTTGGGCTTGCCAGGCAGGCAATTAGACTGCTGAGCTATCTTCCCAGCCCAAAAACAGGTATTTTAGAGGAGAAACAAATGTAGCACAAAAAAGTATTTTTAGGCTAAAATGTAAGAATGGGCTAAGAAAAGCAGGATTGGAGAAGACATGTTCTAGCACTCAGTGGGTATAATATGAAAAGAAGTGATAAGCAAAGAAGAAAACAAGAGTGCCATTGTCCAAATAACAACAGAACATATATGTGATACACGGCGCAGGAATTGTAATTCCTCAACAATGTGACTCATACAGGTGTTGGACTGTAGTTATCATTCTGAAATTGGGGCTCGGATTATACATATGTGAGGCTGTGGGTTCAATGCTGGTTCCAAAGCAATTAAAAAAAATAAGACAACCCAAATAAAATTAGAGTGCATTCTTCACCTAGTAAATAGTAAAACTGCAGAAGCAAAGCCAGGCATGGTGGCACATGCCTGTAAATCTCAGCATTCAGGAGGCTGAAGCAGGAGGACAGCTGGGAATTCAAGGCCAGTCTGGGTTACACAGTGAATTTAAGGCCAGACTGAACTCCATAGCAAGACCTTGTCTCAAACAAAATAAAACAAAACGAAATGGTCCAAAAGCATAAAAAAGCTATCCCAGTCTTTTTCTTGGTATAAGGAATCAAACTCATAATCTTGCACTTACCAGGCAGGTGCTTATGCCACTGAGCCATTTCCATGGCCCCATCCCAGTCTTTAAAACAGTAACATAGCAGCGTCAGTTCTGTTTCTTTGGGGGGGGGGGGCGGGGATCTACTGACAGTAAGACAGTTGATCTCAACTATTTTTTGCAATATCTAGAAAACAAGTATTTAAAAAAATCTACCTATCTGACCGTCTGTCTGTCTGTCTATCTATCTATCTATCTATCTATCTATCTATCTATCTATCAGCCCGCCAGCTGGAAGGGCATGTGATACCAGGGATCACACAATGGCCCCTGAGCTTGCCTAAGCTGGTGCTTTTAGACCATTTAGCTATCTTGCTGGCCCTCAGCACTAGTCTGTAATGGATTTGAAATCAGTGAGCACAAAGGAAATGCTTGGGATTAATACCACTTTGGCTGTCTACTCTATCTGAATGCTTCAGGCTCAGCTGCTGACACTCACGTTTATAGCAGCACAGTTTGTAAGAGCAAAATCTTGGCAACAGCCCAAGGGCCCTCCAACCAGTGAATGGATAAAGACGTGTTATATATATATATATATATATATATATATATATATATTGGAGTACTACTCTGTCTTAAAGAAGGATAAACTCAAGACATTTCTAAGCTAAATGGATGCACTGAGACCATACTTTTAAGAGAAATAAATTCTCTTTGATGAATGTGATTGTTATGTATATCTAAAATGTATCAATAAAATCTAAGTTAAAAAACAAACTGTGCTGCTATAAATGTGGGTGTGCATGTGTCACTGTAACATGATTATAACACTTTCGGATACTCAGAGTGGAATAGCTGGGCCAAATGAATGATTATTTTTACTTTTTTGGAGGCAGGGCCTCGTTCTGTAGTACACGCTGGTCTTGAACTCGTGGGACTATTCTCTTGCCTCAGTGTATACAGTGCATACCAGCGGGCTATTTTTAGTTTTCTGAGGAATCTTCACAGTGGTAGTAGCTTACATTCCCACCAAGCATGCAGAATGCTTCCTTTCTCCCACATTCTCACCAGCATGTCATTAAATGTTTTTGATAACAGCAATTCTCATGGAGTAAGATGGTATCTCAGTATTGTTTTTAATTTTCATTTCTGATGGCCCGAGAGATGGAACATTTTTTTCATGTACTTATTGGCCATCTGTTCTGAGAAATGTCTATTCCATTTTGGTTGCCCACTTATTGACTGGGCCTTTTATTTGGGGGCAGGGTCTATTTTTTTTTAGCTTTTCATAGTCTACATGTCAGTCCTTGTCCAAGGATTAGCTGGCAAAATTTGCTCCTACTCCGTAAGCTGTCTTTTCACCACTGATTGCTTCCTTTGCTGTGTAGAAGC